TAATTCTCACGACGTGAGGGACATTTTTAAGGAATCTGTAAATATCCTTTGTTATATTCGATTTAGAGAGTTGGAGGGAATTAATTGTTCTGGAGAGTTAGTCGAAATCAGAAGCCAAAACCCTGCGAGATTCAACTATTGGAGGAAGAATTCACTTCAAGTTAAGAGAATTGAAGATCCAATTAAGATAACACATTACACATTCGGTTTGATCATGTTTAGATTTATTCCTATTGTGTTTTTGTGTTTGATTACTGCCATGAGTAGATAAGTTACTAGACTTTCATTTAGTTAGATGAAACCTAAAACTATGAGTTCGTTTTCTTTATTTTATAGATTATATGAAGTTGGATTTAGTTTGTGTTTGATTATTGATTCCTAGCATGTTAAAGCTTTAATCTTTGTTGCTTACATTCAACTTAAGTGTAGTTAAATTATCAGTTTAGACTACATGAGCTTGATCACCTAGTAGTTTATGATCATTAAACTATTAGAGCTAGGATTCATTAAATCTTAGATTGGGTAATAAAGTCAACAACTTTAACTGTGTTAGAGAACATGATTTGATCATAATTGTGTTTGGTAAATCGTATTGATCATAGATATTTACCTTATATATATCTTACATAGCTAAATTATCATTAATAATCAATTATGTGTTTGCTTGTGTATAATCATTACATAATAGTTCATGAATTGAGGAAAATATTAGGAGATCTGATCAAGATTGCTAATAATATCTATTTTAGTAACCAACTTTATTAATCCATGAATAAGAACTAACCATAGGAAAGAGGTGGATTCAAAACTAAACGAAAGTGCTTTTAATACCTTGATAACAATCATCTTAGTTAATCGTTTGTTAGTTAAGTTAATCTGAACTTGCAAAATCAGATAAAAACCCTCACTTTCGTTATTTGCTTTTAGATTAATTTTTAGTAATTCATTTAATTAATTGAATTTTATTCCATGTGTTTGATACCCAACTTACTTTTCTATCTTATAAACTGACCAGGTACACTGCCCATTAGTGCATTAGTAGATAAGTTTCGTTAGGACTTAAATTTAATTTAGTAGGTATATTTTTGCACATCATAAGGAAACAAAATTTGGGTGAAAAATCACGGTGTTACAAATTGGTATCAGAGTCATGATGTGAGTAAACTGAATATAGAGACTGATGTTCAGACTTACAAAGGCCACTTAATAGCCATATGTTATGGGATGATGTGGTCTTTATGGAAGGTGAGAAACAACCAATTATTTCAAGGGATATTCATTACACCAACAAGAGTGAAGGAGAAAATAAAGTCTCTTGTATACTTTGTGATGAAATGTAGAGGGAACTGCGGCATATGTAACTGGGAAGAATGAATTACTTCATAATTTCTCGTTTAATTTTTCTGTAACTGTTGTACTATTTCTTTTCTACCTTACCTAGCTATTTGCTTCGTGTTGGCTTTTTTTAATATATATATATATATATATATATATATATATATATATATATATATA